CATCAGTTTTAATCCTCATGGACTTTCTGATATGTGATATTTAGTTGCAGATCCGAAAAGCAAAGTGTTTGATACTTGGCAATAAATTGGAGAAAACCATCCAGTCAAGTCGGACCGAATAGAAAATCCGCGCAAAGAGAACTGACCAGAGTATACTTTTCAAAATTCTGATCCTTATATTCGTACGGAAGGCGATATATTGATTTCCTTTCCAGATTCTCAAGCAAACAGATAGACAGATATTCACCTTTATGTCTCTATGGAAACACGACAGGTACCCTTACGAGGGGAGAGTATCAACTCGGCGTTTATAAACCCTCTTTGCAAAGGAGGTCGGCGCATGGTGGGTTAGGTATATACAGTGTTTTTCATTGCAGAGAAAATCGTTGTTTATCTGCCTACCTCGTCTGCATTGAGAAAGTTGATGAATAATCATAAAAATATATCGCGTTTTAGTTACGAATGTTGAAAACAATATTCAGGCTTTATAGATTTATATTTTATGTACGTCTCACGATTCAAATTTCAAATTGATGCTTAGTTTTAGATCCGAGCAGCACACTGTTTGGCATTCATGGTCCTTATTATAACCCACGAAATTCAAAATGTAGCAGATGTCTACTGGGAAAACCACTATTCGGAAGGAGAGCGAATATGTAGCAATCCATCAGTTACGCTTGTTGGAAATATTATTTAGGTATGTTTCAGATTCGACATCCATGTTCCACCTCTCATGAAAATCATTTTTAATTTTCATGGATATTTTGATATGTGATGTTTAGTTACGGATCCGAAAAGCAAAGTGTTTGATACTTGTCGAAAAATCGGAGAAAAACATCCAGTCAAGACGAACCAAACAAAGTTTCATACAGGTGAAACCAAGAGACCTCTTTCAGTAAGGACGAAGGAACATAAGTACAATATAAAGAAAAATAACATCGATGAATCGAAACTAGCTGAACATATCCTTACTGAAGACGGACAACATATGGCAGAGTGGAATAATATTAAAATCATTGGAAAAGAAGATAAGAACCAGAGGAGAAAAATCAAGGAATCGGCTTGCATTCTTCTGAACGGAGACAATAGCATTGCTTCTTGTTCAGTTGATATAGACAGAACATGGTATTCACTACTAAAATCTGAACATGAAAATGGTAAATTCAAGATTAATCAATGAAAACATCCTGTAACTCATTTGATTGCCAACGTCACCAATTGTCATTGAAAACTGAAAAGCTTCAACACATATTATACGACTTCGCTATTGAAATAATCTCTTTTCATGTTGAAAACGGGAGCAGAGTCGGTCCCGAAACGTCCAAAGATAAGTGAAAATTTGATAATTTTTCTATATACCTTCATTTCTCTTCTCCAAAATTTTTTCAATACAAATTGTCACTGACAAGCTAGTGAATTTTTCTTTTACGCTCTCTGATAGGAAAATGCTTTAAATCCAGTGACATTTTGGGACAAATCATCTGATTTGTCCTTACTACACGTATATTGAAATAATATTCATATTTTTATTTCAAAGAAACGAGGAGAGAAAATCCCAAAAAATTGGAATAATGAATGCATCTATATCTTGTGAAATTAGTTTTTTTTTTTCACCATTTTGATGAAATCTGAGTAATCTGGAGTTCCACAACATAAAACTTTGTTCAGATGACCCAGATGATTTTTGTAAGTGATTATAGGTAGATAAATTTTTTTTTGTATCATTTTGTTATACTGAATTCATATGAATAAAAATATCTATGTATTTTATGTTCTGGAACTGAATTAATTGATTAATAATTTTTGAAAATGAATGTAGACATTGACAAAACATGTTTTTCACTGTATAAGTTCAATGCATTATAATGAATTAATATTTTGTTCAAAGACCTACTTGCGTCTCTCCAGAGAAGTACTAAGAAAATGATCTACCAGTTTTCTTCTCCCCTCAGAGCTCATGTATAGTCTTTTCTCTCCTCCTCTTACATTACAAGTGAAGATACCTTCATGAACATGTAGAATTATCAATGAATTTGGAATCCAGGACTTTTTTTATGTAGGAATAGATATACCTCTTGTTGATTGAGGTAGTTGTGGAATAAAAATATGAACTTTAAAATCCAACAGGAAAATCAATACAAAAACACAAAAAATTAGAACTATATTAGGTACTTACTAATAAAATACAGTTTGATAAAAACATAGAAGCAGCAAAATTATGAATCTATATCTCCAAGATACAATTTAAAATACAAAGGATATGTTCAGCTACCTGAATAATCATTGACATCTCCTCAAACTTGAATAAAATTCAAGGAATGAACAGAAACAAGAAAAAACTGATTATATACTTATTATGAATCTGAGTTTTGGTTAAACATTTTGTAGCTTTTCACACTCATTTGCAAGATACCCTGGAATCTGAATGACAACTCTTAATTAACTCATTAACTTCATTAAACTCAATTAACTTGGGTGTGCCTCAGGGATCGGTATTGGGTCCGCTGTTGTTTGTGATTTATATTAATGATCTCTACAACTATATGAAACCATGTCACAGTGTATTATTTGCTGACGATACATCCCTCATCTACTCCTCAAAAAATCTTTCATCTCTTGCTGATCAATCTGTCGAAATACAAGGAAAAGCCAACTATTGGCTTAGTGTTAATAAACTTATGATGAATAACGATAAATCACAAAACATGGTGATATCTACGGCTCAGCCATTACCTGAGTTCCAAACTGTTAAGTTGTTGGGTTTCACCTTGGATAATAGGTTAAATTGGTCCAGCCACATTTTAGGTTTGAAAAGTAAATTATCGAGTGCTCTATTTTTACTTCGACAACTTAAACCTATAACTAATCTCACTACATTGAAAATAGTTTTCTGCTCACTAATTCAATCTCATATTTCTTATGGGATTCTACTATGGGGAAATTCTAGTGATGCCCAATGTATTTTCATATTACAAAAAAAGGCTCTGAGAATTCTTGTTGGAATTGGTTACAGAGATTCTTGTCGTGATTCATTCATAAATCACAAAATAATGTCAGTACCTTCGATGTATATTTATACGAGTATAGTAGAGATTCACAAAAAAGCTCCCCTGCTTCCGAAGCAATCCAGTTTGCATAATCACAATACACGCAACAGTGATCTTATTAGACCTCAACGTTACAAACTCAGCAAATCACAAAAAAATTCTCATGATCTCAGATTATATAATGCTCTTCCTGCCAGTATTAAAACTATGAATATGTTTTTCTTCAAGAGAGTTATGAAAGATTATTTTGAAAAAAATTGCTTTTACTCGATTGCAGAATATCTGGCTCACGTTAGTGGCCACAATTTTGATACAAGGAACACACTTGCCGAACATCCACTCTTGAGGGAAACGTAAATGTGTATTTTGTTTTTGTTTTTGATTGTATATTATTCGTCTCTGATTGTATATTTTTTGTCTTTTATTGTAAATTATCATTTTTTACATTCTTTTCACCAAAATGGAATCATTTAGGACTTGCTACAAATGTATGAATGTACATCAAGTAGTCAATAAAACTCTACTCTACTCTACTCTACTCTACTCTACTCTTCTTCCTTGCTGAAAAAGATGTTAGTATGGTCCTAAATGAAAATTTATAAATACCTAGATATTTGATCTGTTGATTGTACAGAATTGTTTGAATCAATGTTTCTATTCTGCATCATGTAGCTGTATTTTAAGTTTTGGAAGTACATGCAATCTAAATTGGTTATCATTACTATAGAAATAATACTACAATGATGGGAATCTATAATATCCTATGCAGGATATCATGAATATTATCCTAATATGATTCAGAGAAGGCAAGCATTTCATATAGAACCATAAAATACTGACCTGCACATTTTTACAACATAATCTTTCTTGCCCACCCTTGTGCATTTCAATTCAAAAGTCCATTATCACAATAGGTATTTGAAAGAGAAAGGGACATACTTATTTTTCCTAGTCCTAGTTTCTGGAGACTTCATCAGAAACTTACCATGCAAAATATGAACTGTTGATCATTTCAATCATGTTCTTTCAGATGGGCACTACAAATAGTTAATAATCAGTAATGATCTATATCTATTGATCACAAGTTTACCTTGTTTTCATTAATTGGAGCAATGAAGGTGGAAAAATGTAAATGATATAGGACATTTTTTCAAATTTTTGTAGTAGGTACATATTTATACATCCATCAAATTCACATTCGATGCTCCACGATCCATTTTTCCATCCAACTGAACTGATTTTTCATCTTCAGAAAAGACTTCTTGAGTTTACTAGTGCAACCATCAACAGAACACAGTTGATTTCTTGGTTTTTGAGTGATATGTTGATTCATGATTTATAAAATAATGTAGAATTGTGTCGGTAATTAATATGAAGTTCTTGTCCTGTACTCAAGAAAATCATGAAAACAAAATCAAAGTAATTTGTAGAATGAATTACATGAAATATCAAATAAATGAGCAGAATAACAAACAATAACAAAAATGACCTTGAATGCCCTGATAAACTGGTTCAAATGTGCCCACCAGATGACGTATCGGAATCATCACTTTGCCAATAAAGTTCCATGGTTCATAAGTGTGAGCCCTATTTTATGGTTATGGTTACTCATGATGGTAGTCACTGTTGAGAATGAAAAACAGTGAATTCTCATTTTTCCTGTATTTGTAGAATTGAGGTGATTAAAACTATGAGAACCATGTAAGGTGAGTCTTTTGAATTTGCGTGTATTTCACAAACAGTAGAGTATTGTGGTGTGCTTTAGTAGAACTAGTAGAAGGAATACCTACCTACTTGAATTTGACAAGACGATGGGATGTCAGATTATTACGCCATCCTACTGTCATTATCACTCTTATTACTCGATTCATCACAATAATGTCTGTCATTAAATGTTGAAAATCGAGTTAGCAATGTATGAATGACTCCATAGTTGTAGATAACTTCACTTACCGAACCCCTTTTAGGTATGGGCGTTGGCTGCGAACAGGTGACTAGGAGGGCCGGGGGGGAGGAGGAGGAGGCCCCCTCGGCGACGAGCACCCGAGCGGCCTCCTCCCCCAGCTCGCACGACGTTGAAGACGCGTTCGACGACGACCGTCGGTGGCCCCCCGACGACTTGAAGGAGGGGCGCGTCAGGGACCTCGTCCAGCCATGGAGGCCTCGCACCCCGCTAGCCTTGCCGGTCGTGCTTGACTCGCTGCCCTTGCGCGGAATCGTCGAAATATCGAATCTGGAACGAGGAGAAACCAATGAACTCAATATTAACATCTGGAAGAGAGACGGTCGTTCTCTCGAATAGCACAACTGGTACTGGTACAGGTGGGGGACGTTTGCACGTCAGCAAATAGTCCCTAATCGGACCTTTTTGCAACCCACAAGGTGTTTTTTCAATGACTGATGTGGTTTGCTTAAGAGAGCTGGCTAACATCCTTTTCAGGAACCGCCCATCAGCTCTCTTTCAGAGTTTTTCGGCTGTCTTTTGTAGGCTAGTAATGTACTCACTACCATATGCTGCAGTGGCAGGCCAGCTAGCTATTCTCGTTAACCCCCGTTAGAGACCGAGGTCCACTAAGCAGCTGGCCCGCTCTCACGCTCAGCTGGTAGTTTTCCACACCCACCTACATACACCGTCCTACTTCTTCTCTGATGCTCACAACCACATCATCATCGCTTTCTGCGTGTTCTGTGTAGGCTTTGTTACTAACTCCATGCGCCACTTTAGGAGCAGCACTGTTAATTGGAACGCAACAGCGAATCGTGCAGGACTATCCTCAGCCGATGCTCCGAAACTTCACAATATTTAATTCGTTAATAAAATATTGAAAAAAGTTCCTTGCTCGTGCTGGGAATCGAACCCACGACCTTGCGGTCGTGAGACGGATAGCACAAAGTGTGTCAGGGGCAGCTGCAACAAAGATACCATGTTTTACGGTAACCTGTCTCTTTCCTACTCGTGTTGTTTGGATTGATGTTTACGTTTTCTTTTATCTAATGATTGAAGTACTTTAGTTTTTTTTTCTGTCATCTAAACAGGCAAGAAAGTGAAGACATAAGTTCATTGTCTTTGGTTATGTAAAATATCTATTCATTTGGCGTGTTTTGTTTTATCAAAAGTACTGAATTTATTGATGTGAACACTGTGAACTGATCGTTGAGAAGGTTTGTGATTTCATATTGATAAACAATGGTGATTTATTGTGTCGCCTTTGGATGCAAGAGCGAGCAAGACAAAAGGAAATTATCATTCCATGGGTAAGTTGAATATTGTTCAGATTTTTGGAAAATATAGTTCTTGCAATGATCAGTTAGGTGTACAATGTTCCCAGTCTCAGAATATGTTCAAAAACTATACCTATATTATTTGCCAAAGTTAATTTTTATGAATGTAACAGGATATTTCCAAAATATAGAGGCAACAGAAAGGAAGTATATTCAAATGTTTAAACAATTGTTTGCATAAATCCCTGAGTCTTTTGTTCATAAGTGTTCTGAGACATTTCTTCTGAATGATGAATAACTTCTGTGCTACAGGAGACATTCTCCATAGCATTATCCCATATGTCAGTGGCAGTCAGCCTGATTTGTATTACAGCAAAATAACAGTTTCCCAGAACATTGATATTCAATATTTTGTGAAGGCATCTAGTTGATATATTTTTTTGTTCAATTTTTTTACAACTTCCCTGATGTGTGATTCCCAGTCAAGTGTGTGGTATATGTCCATGTTTTCAACTTTTCTTTATCTGGTATCGTCCCCCACAGGGTGACATACCTACAGTAGAATATCGGCAAAAAAATGTGCTTCAGGTGCTACTGGCTTTTGCTTGTCACTAGGGAGGGACCGGATCGGGTATTTTGCCGATCCGGCAGGATCGGCACCTAAATTTGAAATGTATATGCATGCATATTTTTATACTTAAAACATTGAAAATATTGAGGCTGATTTATTTTTACTCTGAGTGTTAATTACCATTAATTTCACCCAGATAGAAATTAATGTTTACTCAAATCTCGACTCAAATATTAATTTTTAATCAGCATTAACAACATTGAAACAATTCTACTCATTCAATTGGAGAATAGCAGCCCCCTGCAAATAATAAAAAAATTAAAAAGAAGTTGGGGAATCCAGCAACTAGTGTCCATTCAGAGTGACTATTTTCAGAAATTGGTAATATATTTGTTGATAATAGGTGTATGCTAAATGCCGAAAAGCTTTTATTCATTCATCATAATCTTAATAAAATGAATTAGAATACTAAGTTTTAAGCTTCTCACCCTAATTCTTTATGTAACCTGTATACTTTCATTATAAGACTTATCCATGACAGGGAATTTGGCTGTTATTTTTGCTGTTGATAATGTTTTCAGTTACTATCATGTTTTGTAATTTTTGGAAAGAAAATATATTTTGTTCTGAAAAAAAAAATATTTGTGATTAATTAACGACTTAACAATAGGTAAGTAATTAGGCAACAAGTAAAAAAACCTTGAAATAATTCTCGTTTTTTTTGCATATATTTGAATTTAAATTATATTAAAAATTTAAAACTTAAACATTTCCAAAAAGTTCCGAAAATTCTGGCCGGAAAGCGATCAGGTCGGAGCGATCAGGTCGGAGCGATCAGGTCGGAGCGATCCGGCCGGAACGGTATTTCCGGCCAACTGGCCGGATGGGCCGGATTTGATAATTTCATCTAGCGTTGAATACTGTTGCACTGAATGAGCTTCTCTCATCTTTTTACAATTGAATCAACTCTGATATAGTCTTTTTTGCAAGATATGGATGAACAACACCCTGTTTTTTGTCCTTTCGATTTTCAAGATATGTTTTCAATGTTCTATGAAACCTCCATTTATTATTATGACATCTCATTTCCTATCACAAAATCTAAATTAAAAAATAATCCAAAAAAATGGTTCTCCTAAAATCAAGGAAATGGATGATCAACTATGTAAAATGTAAAGAGAGAAAAAACAAAAACAGGATGCAAGCTACTTCTCAATTCAGATAATGCTGTGAGAGAGAGCTGGATGATTGATAACAAGGGAAATTGTGATGAGCATAAAAATAAATTAAATATTAATGATAATCAAGAACAGGCAATCACTGATCCAGTCATGAAATGTAATTTCATTAACGAATTTTTCGTAGAGTGATCACTAAATTATATTACACCAAATAATGATAGCAGAAAGATATGCAGATTCCACAGAAGCTTCTTCCTTGAACCAGTGATGTCATTTGAAGTTATCTCCATTATAAATAAGACAACATCCAAACGGTCTGCTGGCCTAGATGATATGAATGGAAAAATTAAAATTCTCAAACTATCTGTACTCTTGTAGCAGAAATTATATCATATTTACTAAACGAATCTTCCACATCCAATCTATAACATTTCCAGATGTGAAGGATTTCAAATTTATACCTGTATTCAAAAACAAAGGATCTCCTAGTGAATAACTATAGAGCTATATGCATACAGTCAGATTGCTAAAATATTTGAAGCATCTTATTGTGTTAGATTGGCCAAATACTTGTACCACTTCAATCTCCTCCCAGCAAATCAGAATGGTATTTGCAAAAACAATTCAACCTGCTCTGCAATCTCTGATTACTTAGAGTTTATGTTCTAGGACTATTCTATGACTTTAGTTGTGCTTTTGATACTATTGATCAAAATTTATTGATCATGAAATTGGAAGGGATATGAGTTGAATGTGTTCCACTTCAAATGATAACATCATATTTAATAAACAGAACTCAGACAATACTATTATAAATAATAAATCAATGTGAAATCTTAATCAAGAGAAATAAATAAAGGAGTTCCGCAGGGTTCAAACATGGGACCACTACTGTTCATAGTCTTTCTGGGTGACATTGATGACACTTGTACCTCCCCAAATGGAATGATAATATATATGCTGATGATACTAATATTCTAATGTCACCCAACAACATTTGCCAACTTACAAAATTGAGCAACACTGCTTCTGAAGAAATAGAAAAATATAGTCTCATTTTTGAATACAAACAAAACCAATGTCAGTTTTCTGACAAAAAACATAAATCATGACCTATACCTAAACTTATCTGGAATATCTATACAACCAGTGGAGACTATCAAGTTCTTAGGTATTACTTTGAGCTAACATGGGAAGCACACATGAACACTGAATGTTCAAAAGTAAGCACTACATGCTATGTAATAAAAAATCTGTGAGATACAGTATCAACAAACATCCTGAAACTACTTTCTTTTGCAGTATGGCTTGATATTTTGGGGGTCCTCTTGTCACTTTGAAAGGGTATTTGTAACACATGAAAAGATAAAAACAACAATGTGTCATGCTCATCCAACAACTCTTCAAGAAATTTCAAATACTAACCCTTTCATGTCCTTAATGACATTCTTCAAAAAAGTCCATTTAGATGGAGCATATACCTACCAACCAATTTTGAGTTGACTACTTTTAGAAACTATCATGATCTGTTCATAGAATCTCATTTATATTTAATTTATATTTAATTTAATTTTACAGCTCTATTTCCCTTAAGGAATGGACTAAATTAAATATAAGTTAAATGACATTCTATGAAGGCATCTTAGTGAAAGGAATGCTTGAACTCTTAAGATAAGTTAAAATTAAATATAAATCAAATATGAATAATTTATATGAACTAACCATAATAGACAGTAGTTTTGAAACAGTTTGACACTTATGATGAATGTATAAAGTTAACTAAACCAAGACTCAACAATTAAATCAGAAATCCAAGAAGCTGATTTGTTGAATAATTAAAACAAAACCAATCTTAATTCTATGTTTAGTGGAGTTTATGAACTCAACATGCTCAGCATGTTAGTTTCATTGAGTATTGGAGAAGAGTTCCTGTCCACTCTGTTTAACTGTGATTTTGATCTTCAGAAGGCTTATAGGAGTCATCCATATTGAGAATGGTCAATTTTATACTTACTTTTCAGTATCAAGCTTAGGGCAAGACTGTCCCGTGTTTCTATTGTTCTCAGGATTACAGGCCTGACACCTGGATCCAGTTAGCACAGATGTTCCTTTTTTTTTGCCACTGGATGTACCATATTTCAGTATGCCAGATCTCCTCTTCAGATTCTCCAATTCCAGAATGAAGGCTGATAAATTTCGTAAGTATTTACTGGTGTTCCTTCATCCAGTAGCACCAAATTTGTAAATAACCCTGTTGATACTTATATATTATTTGTTGTATTGGTTATCACAATTTAGAATAAGATTCCAGAAATGTTGAAATAATGTTCAATTGTTTCTGGTCTGTGGTAGGAATATCTGAAAAATAAATGTTCAATTGTTCACACAAAAATAAGAAAACATTAGATCAGCTTGTTGCATGCCACGCCACTGGCTTAAGACGTCAAAATAATTCCTCAAACAATTTGACAAGAAAAAATGAAGAAAAATAAGGTGAAAAATATTGCAGTGTAGATTATTACCAAATTGGGCTGGTGGTGTACCAACGGTTTCGACTTTGGTAATCACTGTCAGAAAGACAGTTTGTGTATTTATTTTCGACTTTATGGATGATCATTCAATATAGTCGGCAATGTTAGGTTTACACGATTTGGAGGACTCGAAGTAGGTGTCAGCATGAAAATATGAAGAAACTCGATTTTTATCAGGGAAAATTAAAGATTGATAAGAATTGTCCAAAATTTCCAGTTATTTACGCAAAAAACTCACATCTTTTGCGATAAAATAAATTGACACCACCCCTATCCCGATACAGAATTGACAGTGACAGTTCAAACTTCAAATTTTTGAATTTTACTTGACAGATGTCATATAGTCGCCACCGTTGCCGGGTCTTTAGCAGAAGTGACTAGTGTGGTGCAAAGTGTGATGTAGGTCGGTGTACTTCAAGAGTGTAGGTGTAGTGCTTTTCACGGTGTCCGTTTGCTACGAGCGTCATAAGAATGAAATTATGTTGTCGTTTGTCGGTTTTAGTGAAATATTTCAGTCAGCTTCGATTTCAGATTGAAAGAATATCACTCGAGTAGTTGAATACTTTCTCTGGTTCAGATACAATTTATTGCCATGGTGGCATTCTTTCCTGGAAATCTAAGATGGAGTCTGCTGCGAACATATATATGCAAAAATGTTCGCTTTCTCTTGCGATGTTGTTGCTAATGGGCCGACGACTTTGAAGAGTGGTGGGAATGGACTATTAGTGAAATTCCTTTCCGACTGCTTTAAGTGAGGGACCAAAACGAACGAGAGCCAATTTATGGGTCTGGATCATATTTTGGCATTGTATGATTCTTCTGATGCATCTATATTGTTTGTCTGCAGTTATTCCTTGCTTCAACACATTCTGCTCTAGTCACGAGGTTCGGGTCCTTGCGCCAGCGATTGTAGACTGTTTGTTTCAAGGCAAGAACTCTGTCCTGAATTATAATGCCACACACAAGACATGGGCCGGTTGTGAAGAGTGCTCGTACATCTATGGTGTAAGGTGCTGAATTCTTAGTGAGGAATCAGTCGAGTGTGTTGGTTGAATGATTGTTGACACCAGGAATTCGTGTAGGTTCCTTGATAAGCTGCCCTAAGCCGTGAGTGCAGTATATTATCCTTTCTTCGGCTGGTCGCCCAACTTCACCTGTTTCGTTGGAGCCCAAATCGGTACGCCGGTGAAAACAGAGGGCTAACGCGGTCACATCGGATTTCTGGCAAGGAGAAAATGAGAAAAGAAAGTTAAATTTTTGGCCGATAAATAGTGGTTAAAACGAGTCCATGAAAAAAATTGTGTCCATCTGAATTCTTGCATTCCAGCAATGATCCTAGCCAATGACGGCTAAATATCTAGACTGTCTGACGGGTCATTCGTAGCTATCTTGTGGAGTCGGCATAAAATGTTATTGATTTTTAATTTTCCCAGTTTTTGGTTGGTATATGTGAAAATGACATTGACGTCATAATATTGCGTCACCGAGTGTGCGCGGGGCAAATTTTCTTGCAAGTTTTCAAAGTGTATAAAGTGATTCATCGGAGCCTGGTGTGGTGTTCGGTGATTTTTCGTGTTATTTGCAACTAAGGAAGAAAACATGTTGATCAAAGAATAGTAAGTATTCTGTTAAGATATAAACATCAAAATTTTCGTTAATTCAACGATTCTTGATGTAACAAAATCTGCAGTTGCCAATTCAAAAGTAACCCATTTTTGTGTGATTTTGTCAAGTGTCATCAGATTTCGCATATTATTGCCGAATTATTCCTTATCACTATAATAGTTTTTCACAATAAAATCTTCCTCCTGGTCTTGGCTTATGATTTGGCAAGCCGAATCGATATGATTCTGTAATTCTGTACTTCTATAGAAATAATGTTCTTTTCTCCAAAAGACCTTGGCATGTTCTGGATTGATGGGTGATATTGGACATTGAGATTTTGCAAATTAGGTAGAAATTACACACATGTAATTTTAATTATTATTTATCTATTTTCTAGCCGTGTGACGTTGCCTCTGACAGTAGAAGAAGTAAGTTATCATTTTGTTATAATTAATCATTAATAAGAAAGTAATCACTACCTTGCTAGGTACCTTTTAGCTCAAGGATGTAAATCCTGGGTAGGTACATACTTTTTCAATTAAACTGAAAACAAATATATTTGATAAGGTAGCATGAGTTGATAATTAGATGTTAACATAACATTTTGATGACTGCATTCAAGAAAATCAAGTGCTTTTCTAGGTAAAACTGATAAAAATAACCCAATATAACTAAGGGAGTGCATACCTACAGATTTACCTATCCATTGTTAGGTGCATAATATTTGCAACAATAATATTATATATATGAAGAAATTACAGTTGTATTTAAAGTTGCAGTCTATGAATCCCTTGAGGAATTCCTTAATGAAGTGTAGAAGACTTGAATTGATTATAGAGTTATTGTCTGAACCATCATATTTGAAAAAAATGGCAAAGCTTACAAAAAATCTAATATCTTGGCATCACTGGTCAACTAATATTCATTGTTTACAGGGAGGTATTCATGTTTCACTTGTCTGTCCAATTTTGATAATTTATAGAAAAATTGAAAATATTACATACCTACCAGTTTTTTCAGAAAGGAAAAATGACGAAATGAGGGATATATCCTCCAGTAGTTTCAACTCTCCTATGGTACCCTATAAATAATTCAAAAGGATTCAATGACAGACAACTGCAAAAAATATTCACGGTAGTCAAGGTCATCTGACATTGGGGTGACATGACAACTAGGGAACAACATGTCTGACTTTAGATCTACTTGGATTAATTTTGTTTCAACAGAGATAAAAATTCAAAAAATTTTGATAACTCAACACTCAATACTCTGAAAGCAAATTATATAAATTTTGAATTCTGAGTCAACTTATCTCAACAAACATTTTCAATTCAACAAATATTTGAATTCAAGCTACAGTAGATGAACTGAATTTTGATTCTAAATGGTACCCAAGATGATACCTATTTCTATAAAATATTGAATAAATATGATACTCAAGTAACATTATTTGATGAAGAAATTTGAAGGAACATAAGATGAAATGAATTTCAAAAGATCTTGAAATTTGGTCTCAGAGCAATCATGTAAAATTTAAAATTTTTTGGTGAGTTTTGGATTCACTCATTCCAATATAATATTTTCTGGGGAAGAACTGAATTTGTTGATCAATCAAATTGTTTGTTGTATTTTGATGATACTGGAATCAGGACAATTGTTGATGAATTTTTAACAATTTAAAATTATTGTTGGGAATTTTCGATAGAATTTTAATTCCTGGCTGTGGTCAGTGGAATATTTTCGCTATTACTATCAAGCTTATAGTGCCCTAGCCTCTACCTCTGTAGAGTGTTGTCGATAATATTCCATTTCCACTCATGAAGCGAGCTTGTCAAGTTACCAATTATTATAATCAAGTTATCAAAAAGATGTTAGGGTCCAGTCGTTAAATAAAACATAATAGGAGGAACCCCTGATATTATAGTTCATTCTTGACTTTTTCGAGCAACCAGCATGTCCCAATATTTTATATTGTCTATAACAAAGTATCATATTAATGTTGGACACTTGACAACATTGTGCTGAATGCTGAGAACTGACAAGACCACGCCAACAAGTCGTACGCCGTGTTGTCACGTTCACTGATTCAAATGTCCTCTAGTGTGAATTAATATAATTATTATTTACACAAATTTATTTTAAGCAATAAGCCACAAATCATAAGCGAACATTTTGAGACAATTGAGTTTTTATAGCTAATTAGGAATATTACCAATACTCAATTGTGAATTTATGAATTATTGAATAACTAATATTTCTGAAGTTCCCAGTCGTATTTCACGAAATCGTGGCGTCAGTTTTTACCTCGGTTTTTACTGGTGGTAAATTTCTAGCTGTTTGAAAATTACCGTGGCATTATTTATGATTTTGGCACCTGAAAATCGACCAAAAAATTCTTGAAAAATATTAAATTGAAATGTATTTGAGTGATGATTCTATTTAACTCTTTCAAGTACTTTGGTGCAGAATTTGAACCACGAATTTCTTGGAGTTAGAGGTATGCTGGGACAAAATATATCCCGCTCTGCAATGGGCTTATGATTTGTTGTAGGACGGTTTATTTTCTCTCCCGCCCCATATTACTCACTCATATTGGTCTTTTGAATCATATATGTTCGAAGCTGAAGCGAAAAAAACAATACATTATTAGTGAATAGAATAAACTCAAAACTTGTTCCGTACGTTGTGTTTCTCCTCTCGAATTGCGGCTGCAAATTTCATGCTTATCATGTTATTACATTTTTTGTTGCATTATATACTATCTAGGCAACATAGGTAACCTACTTGTTATATTTTTCCAACTTATATGTTTATTTTTCGTTCACTAAATGTTAAAATCTACGTTGTTTGAAATTTGTCCCACCATACAACATCACCAAGACATTTTTCAAGGATAATGATAAGGAAAATGATGTCGAAATCAATTTTAACAACATTATACTTTCTGATATGAATATCGAGACACCAGTACTTATATATGGATACATGGGATCCAGAAGATTTGATACCCCTATCGCGGAGTTGAAACCAGGGATAAAGAAAAAAAAATGGTGTGGAGTGGATGAGATTGTTCAGCCAAAAGATTTTAATAGAACATCTGGAGTGGCTCAAGATGGATAATCTCTCTCGTCAGTTCATCACGGACAAATTATTGAATCACATAGTTTTCCAGATCAATCTATATACTAAGCAGAATTATCAGACGACTGCAAAGACATATAAAGGAACAGATATTCATGAAATCTTTTCCTTGGATGCCGCTGTAGTCAACTCATTTATTCTTCACAGAATACTCTATATCTTTCAAAGTTATCAATGAAAGATTTGGTCAAAACGGCTTACATGTCCATATCTCAACTCTTGATTTACTATTTACTCGTATTTAATTGAAACAAATACAGGATGGTGTAGAATTCTCAGTTTCAGTCTGAATTCCACACCACCCTGTATTTGTTTCAATTAAATAACAGTAAATAGTTGTTTTGAAAAATAATAATGAATAGTTTTGACACAAAAAATTCCCAAAAATGAAAAATCTCGATTTTCCACACCCTATACTCGGAAATCATTCCCGCTAGACCCCAAGTGTGCTAGGTCGTTGAATTCAGCACTTCAAGGAGAATATGAAAATGCAATGAAATACAGGGTGTTCCATTTGAAAAAATTGATGTTCGATTTTGTGAGCCTTTCTTGCGCACCTCGTATAAAATATAGTCATTCCTGAAGTTAGCACTCATAATGCTATATGATGTGAAATTATAATATTTTGGAAATTCCTATTGGTTCAGAAGATATTTAACTGTCTCACTGGTCTAGGGACACCCTGTATATACACTGTTGTGATGGCTTTTGTTGTGCTATAGTTCCGAAAAATGAGTCCATAATACCGTCTCCGAGAAAGAACTGCAAGTCATTTTATCTTCCATTCGACTTCGCGGTTACGTATATTACTAAACAACCACTGAATTCGCAATTTTTTGAAATCAAATCACAGAAAAGACTGACAGAAGTGACATCAGATATTTGATTACTTCAAAAGAATGATAAAGATGCCTACAACGCATGTGTCCCTACTGTTAAAATCTTAAAATTTCACGTCGATAATTTTCGGATTTCAAAATAATGTAATATCTTCTCAATATTGATTCGTCATTTTTTCTGTCACAGAAAAAAAAGGGTATTATACACTGGAAAAATATTAGATTTTAGCTCACGGTTTTTTGTCTTCCTCCGCTACGCGTCGGGAGACAACACAACCTGGAGCTAAAATCTACTACTTTTTTCCCTTGTATAATAAATAACCTCGTAAATAACTATTCATTAGTCATTTTATCTATATATTTTTTATTCTTCATGATACATGTATATTCTTGGATTTTTACTGACATTTCACTCTATTTTTATTTGTATTAGGTACCATGCTGTTGGTGTGCGAACTAATTTGAGAAAATGAAGAATTCATTATTATTATTATTTTTGTTATTATGTCATTATTTATTATCATTACCACCACTTTTTGTCCTATCGAAAAAAATATTGTTTTTGGGTCAGGTGCGCTGCAGGCGAAATTTTTCTCTGATCAAGGTCAATTGGATTTAAATTGAAAGTTGTTTTTGACAGGTTCTATGGGCCGAAAGAAATACTCAAGCATATTTCCTTAATATTGCACAAAACTTCGAGGTCATATTTTTTGGGTCAAAATAAGAAAATAAGTACATACAGGGTAACTCACGGTCGATGGTACTTTAGACGTTTATGGAGAACGGGACATAGGATCATTCTGAAATTTTGGTTACTCACGTAGTTGCTCTTGGTCTATCGATCTAAAATATTTTCAGCTCTGCGGCGTTGCCGCTTCTATCAAAAAGTAGCAACAACTTTGTTATTTTGAATGGAACACCCTGTATTTTATTGCATTCTCAGATTCTCTCTGAAGAGCTGATTTCATCGATGCATCACACTTGGGGTCTAGCGGAAATTATTACAGAGATATAGGGTGTGAAAAATCGACATTTTTCAACTTTAGGATTTTTTTTTGTCGAAACTATTCATTATTGGTCAAAACGGCTCACAAGTCCCTATCTCAACTTTTGATCAACTATCTACTGACATTTAATTGAAACAAATACAGGGTCGTGTAGAATTCAGAATCTTGATCTCCCGGTATATGTCCCAATTAAATATCAGTAGATAGGTAATCAAAAGTTGAGATAGGGATATGTGAGGCGTTCTGACCAATTATGAATGGTTTAGACACAAAAAATTCTTGAACTTGGAAAATGTCGATTTTTCACACCCTATATCTCTATAATCATTTCCGCTAGACCCCAAGTGTGATGCATCGATGAAATCAGCTCTTCAGAGAGAATCTGAAAATGCAATAAAATACAGGGTGTTCTATTTAAAATAACAAAGATAGAAGCGGCAA